ATGAAGTGCTCATCAGCAACCATTAAATTAGAATAACCTCCATATGTAATGGTACCATCAGTGTAAACAGCACTATAGGTCAGTATCATTTTCGAACAGTAATTTTCAAGATCATTGGTGCATTGATCACACTGGCGACATGATCCAACCATACATCCAACTCCTACTTTGTCCCCAACCTTGACTTTCTTCACCTTGCTGCCAACCTCAGTTACTTCGCCCACTATCTCGTGCCTGCATTAAACAGCCCAGTTCAACAGACGCATCTACTCCTCCTCCTTCCGAAGATATATAATCTTTTAATAACTTTAAGATGATTCAAACAGACTACCGCAACAGTTACCATTCAATTTCTATGATTTAGTTTATTAAATGGTATATCCATGGAAGCCAAAATATCAACCCATAATAAGTGCAACTGGTGGTACAAAAAAGCAAAGACAGTTGCCTCTTTGTTTGATTTTCATATTTGGATGCTTGTATTCATCCAAAATGTCACAAGAATTTGTTTAAATATTTCTATATTCTCTGTTTTCAAATCCAGATTACAACAATCACTAATCCTCACAATACTAACACAGTAATCGTGTGTGAGATTTGTGCATATTGAACCACCCCATCTAAAAATCCCAAGGCATTTGAGTATGGACACTTACGGAAGCTCATTTAGGTCACAAATTCAATTCTGTTTTTTCTAATCAAAACCATGACATGTCCTTAATTTCATAAATAGATAGCCATAACGGCTCCACACTTCAACCAGAAATACCTAGAATAACACCACGTGTAGAGACAGAGAAAAGATATGTTACCCGGGAACAAGGGGATACTGAGTGAAGCCCCATTCATTCTTGGCCATATGAAGATCCGAATGACAAACCCCACAGTACAACACTTTGAACTGCACATCGCGCTCTCGTGTCGCCCTTCACACCAAATACAGTGTTAATCAAATCAAAACTAGCCAAATGCACAAAAATTACAAAGAAAACTATAAATCGAAATCTATACCTTCTGAAGAGCATTATTTTCAAATGCAAAAAA